TGTGAAAGTGCTGGCACTAACGGGTGGACCACGAGTGCAGTGACTGCTGCTCCTCCGGTGCCGAGTGCTGCCTGAGTCCACCTGCCACTCAGCCGCTCCGTGGAGGTCAGTGTGTCCCTGCTGGGTCCAAGGGCAGGAGGCAGGTGCTGTCCCTCCTCGCCTGTCTTGGCAGTTGGCTATGAGTGGGCGTCCACCCAGGTTCCACTGACAACAGAGCCCAGGCAGGCAGCAGGCTGGGCAGGTGGCTGCCGATAAAGAGAAATGCACAGGAAAAGAAAACAGTGCAGCCTCTCTAACAGGATGAGAGGACAAGGAAAAGGAAGGTCATTCCTAAGGTTTTTAAAAAGAACTATACATTCAATCACTGTGTGAATTTTATGCATTGAATCATTACAGCTTGTAAAATCAGTTCTCCCAGTGAGTGCATTGCTTATTAGTCCAATTAAAGATATTACCATATATGTTATCATCAACAGATCATTTTCCATTTTTGTGTCCCTTAAATGTTTTACTTCTTTCTTTTTCTCCTTGTTACCTCCTTCTCACACTCTCCCATTTCTTTTTTCTTTTTTCGGAGAGGTTTTTGCTATAGGGCGCGTGCGCTCGCCAGACAGACAGAGAGAGGCAGAGAGACAGAAAGCAAGAAATCACCCCCCCAGCGGGGATGGCCACGCTGCAATCCCTTCTCCTCCATTCTCCTCTTGGGATCTTGGGCACGCACACACATGCGCCTGGCGTGAGTTTAATCCACCGGGTCCGGGACTCGAACCGCGGTTGACTACATGGGAGTCCAGTGACATAGCCATTATGCTAATTGCTGGTCCCTCACCCGCTCCCATTTCTTACCCTTCTCCCACAGTTGCTCCACAGTTGCTGTCCACGCTTTTATATCTTCCAGTTTTATCTTTTCTGTCATAGAGTGCAGACAGTTGATATATATTAAGTAGTGACATAAAATGCCTCTCTTTCATAGTCTGCTTGCTTTGCTTAGTAGTAAATGTTCCACGTGCTTCCATATTCATCCACTTTCTATCAACTGCTAGAACTTTTTTTTATGGCTGAGTAGTATTCCTTAGTGTATATGTGCCACATTTTTTTCAATCCATTCATCTGTTTGTGGACATTTGGGTTGGTTTCATGCCTTAACAATTGTGAATAATGCTCCAATAAACATGGATGTGCAAGTATTTTTCTTGGGTTTATTTCTATCCTTCGGGTGGATACCCAGGAGTGGAACTGCTGGATCACATGGTAGTTTCTAATTTTTGTTGTAGGGCACATGTGCTTGCTGGAGAGAGACAAAGAGAGAGGGAAACTGAGAGAGTACCCCCCAGGGGGAATGGTCATGACACAGCCCCCCCTCCTCCATTCTCTTCTTGGGATTTTAGGCATGCACATACATGCACCCGGTATGTTTTTCAGGCTGCCGCGTCTAGGACTTGAACTGTGCTGTTGGCCATGTGGGATCCAGTTGCCTTAACCTCCATGTCGCTGGCTGCCCCACTGGTAAATTTCTGAAAACTATTCTGCCTTCTGAGTAAGACAGAAAACCATGGCTTTTAAGAAACAGAGAAGGACCTTTTGAAGCAAAAGGCTCCTATAGAAGGCTCCAGAATCAGGCAACAATGGTCTTACTAGAGCAATAAAGATTGCTAAAGGAACCAGCCAGTGGATGAGGTGGTTAAGGGGCACTGGACTCCCACATGGTCAATCACAGTTTGTGTGGGGCAGGCCAGGGCTTGCCACGTGTAGTCAAGTTCATGTAGGAGAGGAATGTCTGTTCTTTTCGACAAAACCCCAGCAACTAGGTGGTGTGGTGGTTAAGGTGCTGGACTCCCACATGGCTGAGCACCGTTCAAGTCCAGGACCAGGCAGCTTGAAAGTCACACCGTGTCTGTGTGTCCCAAAGCTCAGGAGAAGAAGCAAGAGATTGTGGCGTGGCCATTCCCCACGGGGGTGATTTCTTACCTTCTCTGTCTCTCTCTGGTGAGCACAATACCCAATACAAAAACCTAAAACTGCAATAAAAACCACAGCCCCCAAACAACCCAGTGGGCCTTTAAAACTGTTCCATGGTGAAGAACCCAAAGAATTAGGTTCCATGACATTTAAAGCAATAGCACAGTCAGGGCCAGCAGGTGGCGTGAAGGCTGGGCACTGCACTCACACATGGCTGACTGTGGTTAGAGTCCCAGACCTGGTACCTTGCTTTCTCACTTTCCTTTTCTCTCTATGGTCAAATTAAAAATATATATTAATAATAAGTAAAGTTAAGTAAATAATTGTAAAACATTTACTTATATAAAGCAAAGTCAAAGGTTTTCTTAAATGGGAGAGACAAGTCAACTGGCGACAGGACTGTGCGTTGAAGCCTTGCGTGCCGTCCAAGCTAGGACTTCTGAATGCTTTGGTTAAGTCTGCCTGGTCGGTGTGGGAGAACGGGCTCCCCAGAGCAAAACGAGACACGTGAGGTTTTCATGTTCATATGTGTTTGTGGAGCGTGTATATATAATCTTCAATGAGCACACATTACATAATCGGGAAAAAACTTTATTTTTTTCTTGCAGAAAAGAAGGCAAGGGGGTATAGGGGTATGGAGCAAGTGTCCCGCAGCACTGTCCTCCGCTCTGGCTGGCCCTGCGCCTGTTAGGGACCAGCCATACATGCTCCCAAAGACCAGCGGTTCTGCTATCTGAAGAGGCTGGGCCCAGGGCAGAGTGCCACCTGGAACTGAGGCTACCTGTGGGTGCGTGAGGTTTCTTACGAGGTGTCTCCTAAGCCTTTCCTCTGGCATCCTGAGGCCAGTCCTGTGTGCTTTTCTTGTTTTTCTCAGAATGCCTGTGCTTCCCGAGAAGGGATGGACCTTGGCGGAACACCGGGAGGTGCCCCACCCCTCCTCCCTCCGAGGAAGCGCCATTGATGGGCAGTCTTTACAGCTGGGCTGGAGGAAGTTCTGGCTGTAAACTGTCATGCACTGCAGCCTTCACTGAAAGGGCAAAGCGAGTGGGACTGGTCCTGAGAACCAGGCACCAAAGATCAGAAAACCAGCCCCAGACGCAGAGGAAAAGTGAGCTAGCCAGCAAAGTCAGGCACTGCCCAGGTGGGCCAGTCAGGGGCCTCGGCGGCGCAGGGACACCTGTGGTGGGCCATCCGACCTGCTCTCCACATTCCCCAGTTCTTTCCGGAGTGGGCATCTCCCTGCGCCAGAGGCTGCCCTGTGGACTGTCGCTCCTGTGCAGGAGCTCAGACTTCACTCCTGCCCAGTTTGGAGACCCTCAGTCCCCGGCCCCTCCTCCCTCCACCGCCCCTCCACCTCTCTCCTCTTCCCTAGTACCCAGGTCCAGGGACTTTCAGGCCACAGCCACAACCTCTCAGACACTTTGAGACCAAAACTTAAAGTGGCCAGTGCACTCGCAGCCCCGAGCCCAGGCCGGAGCAGCTGGAGATGGGGTGTGGTGGGGGGTCCGGATGTCAGGAGCAAATGAGGACCTTTTGGAACCTCCTTCCAGAGGACACTTTCCCTCGGGTAGCACCCCCGGAATTTCCATCCTGGACAACGCAAGAAACTGGGAAATGCCGACAGTGACAAGGTGACCGGCCTCCGGGCTCTTCTGTCTCACGCTGGGGAGGCAGAGAGGAGCCTGGAAGTGTCCTTACCCACCCGGGCAGGAGGCACCTCTGGGAAGCCTCTCCCAGCAGGCGGCGCGGTGGTCCCCTCCGAGGCGGGGATCCCCGGCTTCTCCGTGATTCCTGCCGGAGTCCGCCCACCCGGCGCGGGCAGGGCGCGGAGGGTCCCCGCCAGGCGAGGGCTGTTCCAGGCCTGCCCCTCGCCCAAGGCAGCGGCCTTCCCCGAAGCGCGTGGGGTGGAAAACGGCCGTGCTTTCCGCGCCCCGCGAGGTGCAGGCGCAGCGCCGGCCTGGGGCTCCCGCGTCGGAGGAATGCGGCGTTACGGCCAGCACAGCCACCTCCTGCTGTCACCTTCCCTTCGCTCTTCTCGCGGGGGTTCTCACCGAGGGGTAATAAACCCGGCTCTGCCGGCCGGTCCCCTCCCACCTCGTACCCCAGGAACGCGCCGCCGCCCCCGCGCGCCCCACGCACGTCCAGTCCCGTTTCCACGGGGAGCGAGGGGACGGCAGGGCGGGCCTCTATGTCCCCCGCGTCCTTCTCTGGGCGCTGGGCCCGAGGTGGGCAGAGGCGCCGCGCTCGGGCTTCCCTCTGCACAGGTGAGGGGCGCGTGAGCCTGGGGCCCGGGAAGGGCTGTCAGTGGCGCCACCAGGGGCGCCGCTGGGCGAGGGACGCGCGGGGACAGGTGTACGAGAAAACGCCCGACGGGACAGTGGAGCCTCGG